TAGAAAAAACCAAAATTATTTTTTATATAAAAAGTACACATCTTTCCTATGAAAATAACACATATTTTCTATAGAAGAAAATATATTGTTTTCTTATAAAAATAAAATTCATTTTCCGATAGAAAAAAATTACTTTTTTCCTATAGAAAAATATTACATATTTCCTGTAGAAAAAATCACACATTTTTCCTAAAGAATAGGAAGAGCTGATTAACATTGCAGTATCTAATTAAATTAGTGGAAAGGTGAATAATATTTAGACATGTGATCAAATTATAAAATAATTAAGAGCCACACACTGAGGCTAGAATAAGTGACAGGGTATATGAACCCTGAAGCTACACTAAATGAGAAGAGCTGGGACTGCGATCTGCGAATGCTGACGCTAGGGTCTTTGAACCCTGAACATGTGAATACTGAGGTTAAAGTCAGTGATCGCTGAGGCCAGATTCCAAGAACTCTGAGGCTCAAGTCTGCGATCCCTGAGTGTTCAAATTATAAATTAACAATCGCTGTGCCTATAGTCGGTGAATGAAGAGGCCAGAGTCTGTGAATGCTGAGGCTAGAGTCAGTGAATGCTGAGCTAGGAGTCTGTGAATACTGAGACTAGAGTCTGTGAATGCTGAGGCTAGAGTCTGTGAGTGCTGAGCTAGGAGTCTGTGAATACTGAGACTAGAGTCTGTGAATGCTGAGGCTAGATTATGTGAATGCTGACGCGGGAGACTGTGAATGCTGAGGTTAGAATATGTAATGCTGACGCAGGAGACTATGTATCCTGAGGCAGGAGTCTGTGAATGCTGAGGCTAGTGTCTGTGAATACTAAGGCTTGAGTCTGTGAATGCCGAGACAGTAGTCTGTGAATACTGAGGCTAGAGTCTGTGAATGCTGAGGCTAGAGTCAGTGAATGCTAAGGGTTCGTTTGTGAATGCTGATGATGAGAGTCTTTGCGTACTGAGGCTAGAGTCTGTGAATACTGAAGCTACAGTCTTTGCGTACTGAGGCTAGAGCTTGTGAATGGTGAGGCTAAGGCTAAAGTCTTTGAACGCTGAAACTATGGTTTGTGAATGCAGAGGCTAGAGTCTGTGAATGCTGAGGCTAGAGTCTGTGAGTGCTAATTCTAGAGTCGGTGAAGACTGAGGCTAGAGTCTTCGAATGCTGAAGAAGAAGTCTGTGAAAGCTAAGGCTAGAGTATTTGGATGATGAAGCAGGAGTCTATGAATGCTGAGACTAGAGTCTGTGAATGCTAAGGCTGTAATCTGTGTATGCAGAGGCTAGAGCATGCGAATTGTGAAGTTAGAGTCTGTGAATGCTGAGGCTAGAGTCTGTTAAGGCTGCAGCCGAAGTCTGTGAATGTTGAGGCTGGAGTCCGTGAATGCTGAGGCTAGAGTCTGTGAATGCTGAGGGTTCAGTTTGTGAACGCTTCAACTAGAGTCAGTGAATTCTGAGGCTAGATTCTGTGAATGCTGTGGCTGGAGTATGTGGATGCTGAGGCTAGGGTCTGTGAATTGTTTCTATAGAAAAAAATCATATATATTATAAAATATATAATCATTATAAAATAAAATTTTTTTATAGAATAAAATTAAGAATTGTAATTTCCGTTCCTATGGAAATATCATATATTTTCTCATAGAAAAAAATCAAATGCTTTTCCTGTACGAAAAAAATTCTTTAGAGAAGAATCACACATTTTTTTCAATAGAAAGTTTTACCCATTTTTTCCCATAGAAAAAATATTTGTTTCAATAGAAAAATATTTTTTCTATAGAAAAAATTACAATTATTTCTTTAGAAAAAATCGTCTATTTTCTAAAAAAACAACTATTATTTCCTATAGAAGAAATTATGTTTTTTTAATTGAAACAAATCATAATTGTTTCCCTAAAGCAAATAATGTTTTTCTGAATTTTTTCCTAAAGAAAAAAACACAATGTTTCTATAGAAAAAAAATCACAAACCATACATTTTTTCCTAATGTAAATAATTGCAATAAATCTGCTTACGTTATACTTGAACGGCTACTAATAGAAATATTTTTTCTATAGAAAAAACAAAAATCAAATACATTTCCCATAAAAAAATCTATAATCAATATTTTCCAATACAAAGAAATATTTTTTTTTTCTGTAAAAAATTTCCTTTAAAAATCACATTAAAGAAAGCTCTTTGGGTTTCAATGAGGCTTGCCTCACGTTGGGCGCCAGTGAAGAAACTCGACGTTGAATGCCAATAAAGCCAGCCCCACGTTGGGAGCTAGTGAAGAAACTCGAAACAACAAGATTTAAAATAATGTTGGCTACTCCTTGTTTAGGAGTCCATCAACTTGGGCAAGCGTGGGTAGTGATCTTAAGCCTTCAGTGTTCGCTTAAACTAATTAGAGCCGGGTGGTCCAGGGGGGTTACTCTGTATTGCGTTGCGAAAGCAAGTGCGATGCGAAAGCTAAATGCGTTAAGAGTACAATTTGGTACTCTGTTACGTACACGCAAACGCATTCGCAAACTAAATTGAAAATAGGGCAACACTGTCGCCACAAAGTAAACAATAACGAAGAATGACAAAAGGAAACGTCAAACAATTGTAAATGAAAACATATTTTTTTGTGGTACGAGTGTTTTTTTTTAAACAAAAATGATGAACGAATTAAAAAAAAGAATTTTATGAGATCTATCAAATATACTCTCCTTAAGTGACCACGGGTATGAAAATATAAGTACGAATTATGTGACAAATGTTTTCAAATATTTAATTTTTATAGATTTATATAAAATGTCTCAATAAAGATTCGTTTATGTATTTTTTAAACGCTTGTCGTTTCAAATAGATCCACAACAATTCCAACTCCAATAAAAGAGGCCGCTGCTTTGAAATTGCTTGGACAAGGTGGTTATCAACACCAACCTATAAATATGCACACATAGTTTCACATTTTATATAAAAAAAAAAATAATGTATTACTTTTTCCAACCACCGACATCTTTTACAGGAGGTCAATTTGAATTGAGGTCATCAGACAGTTTTGTCCACAAATTGTTGGCGCGTTGTTTCGCATTTGAACTCTGCAACTGTCCCTTTGCCAAATCACTGTGTTGCCCCATAAAATCTACTGAAGATAGGAACTGACGTTGCTGAGCCTGTAACTGTGACTTTTTTGCCTTTTACTTAAAATAATTTACAATTTATATATAAATAAAACCTTTAATGGAGCTTACTTATATGTTTCGCTTCCTTTGCGTTTGTTAACGCAAGATATTTGCGCTTAACGAACGAGTTTGACATGCGTTTTCGTATTACAGAGTGCGGTGATGCTACATTTGCGTAAAGTAGATGCGAAAGGAGATACGAAAACGAATTAGAGAGTACCAATTACGCGATGCGTTACAATTTTTCTCACGCATCGCAATACAGAGTAGCCTCCAGGACTCGGAGTGCAGAGTGAAATTTGATTGAGCTTAGGTACTACTTATGAGAAGCAAGATCCTCGTCTAGTATTGGTTGTGTAATAATGTAGTAGATTCAGAGATGTAGTTTTTAGTACTATTTACAAAGTTAACCGTTAATTTCAAATATTTAAATAAGAGTTGCATTTAAATGTTTAATAAAATGTATACGTTTATACTACAGCAAATAATATTTGAATAAAACTGAGTTGATCCGCTTCAACATGCTTATTCCTATAGAATAAAAAATCTCACATTGTTTTTTTTCTACATAAAAAACATATATGTTTCCTATAGGAAAAATGGATTTTTTCCATTAGAAAGAAAGCAATTTTTTTTTTGTAAAAAAATTCCTTTAAAAAAATCACATGATTTTTCCTATTGAAAAAATCTCATTGTTTTTTTTTCTACATAAAAAACATATATGTTTCCTATAGAAGGAAAAAGTGTTTTGTTTATAGTTTGATCTTCACTGTTTTTTTTTCCTACATAAATACATTTGTTTTTCCTATAAAAAAAAAAAATAATTTTAATCTATAGAAGAAAAAGTTTCCTATTTTTCCAAAAAATGTCCTGTAAAAAATCATATGTTTTCTATAGAAAAATATCATATTTCACTATTTAGGAAAAATCATATTTTTCATCACATTTCCCCTATAAATCACTTGCATAAATATTTTTTTATTATAAGACTGATTTTCACTTTTTTCTTCTTTAGAAAAAAAATCTAATTTTTCCAATAGAAAAAACACATTTTTTTCTATAAAAAGCCCTATTTTTCCCTATAGAAACAAATTAAAAAATCTATTTAGCAATGTCAACGCGATTTTGGGACAATATTCTGGGATCTAACACATAAGCATAACTCATATATCAGTTTTACCATGAGCTCTTAAATTCCCTTCGTTTCTATTTGTAAATTCAGTTTTTCTAACCATCCATCATCATTTAACCTTCCCTTTAAAATCTTTAATTCTGAAGATTTCGAAATATGAATATAATTTATTTATATTATCAATCTTTTTATTTGAAATTTGTAGTTTTCTTTTGGTTTTATTTACTTTTAATTTTTTTTTATCAAATGGTGTTTTTGGATGACATTGATGATAATAGCTAATATGATGTTCGAAGGGAAGGGGGACATATTGTTGCATAAGCCGTTCTAATATCATAAATTATTTGATTAGAAATAATATTGAAAACGCAAACACTACAAATAAAGTGTATTGACAATAATGTTTAAGGGTTTTGTAGAGATGATTCAAAAAAAAAAAAAAAAAAAAAAACAATGGATCTACAATGATGAGAAAAACAAAATAATATACACAAAAATAATAAAGCCTATAATGGAAGGGGGCACGTGGGAATGAGTGAAGATTATGCTTTTTTCTTCTTCTTCAGCTACTTCTTTTTTAACAAAAATAAGTAAAGTAAAAAGGTGTTTTGCTGCTAATATTTGTTTTTTTTTTGTTTCTTCTGTATTTTTATAGGAGGCTTAATAATTTATTTGTATGTTTTTTTCTTTTACTTCGATTTATGTTATCTTATAGGTGTATATGTATGTATATGTATATATGAGTTTAAAATCATCGTTCTTCCAAGATAACTGTCTCTTGAGGATATAATTTTAACGATTGCAATGTCTGACTGCTATCGATGGCCGTGAGGTCACGTCTTGGCCAACTGGAAATTACTTTGTATTCATCGATAAGGAAACCTTTTGATGCGACAAAATTTAGAAGGTCCTAGGAGAAGAGATAGAAAGAGATAATTGAGTTTTATCTGAGATCTGTTTTTTTATACGAAATCAATATTGCTTACCTGTAATGTATTTTCAGTATAGAAACGACGTTCCAAAAAGTCCCCAGTAGGTTTGCGTACACGAATTTTTGAAATATTGGTCTCCGTTTCAGTTGGTTCTTTGGGTAATGATTGTTCAGCCTGAAATGAGAGAGGGAGAGAGAGAGATAGAATTTAGATAGAATTAAGTTATATAGAGAGTGTATCTAAATTTTCAAAATAGGTTATATAAGGTATTAAGGGAATATAGGTAAGGTAGATAATTTATCCACGTTATCTAAACGATATTATTTATCTACACAATTCAATTATATTTGCTTAATTAAGATCCCAGTTATCTATTTAAGATGGAAAACAATCGCAATAAAATGGAGCCTTTATCGATGTTATCTAGATAATATATTTTCATTATCTATGTATCCACGTTATCTTAGCAAGCCAGATAGGGTTTATGTCTTCACTTTATCTTAATGTGTAGTATAATGCATCAAAGTTATCTAGATAATCTCGATAAATATCCGTCTTCTGGATAATGTAGAAAACTATTTATTGTCCATACCAATTTTGGGTAGCTTCTAGTGTTTTCTATCAGCCTCTCCTCCTCCCTGGTTCGAATCATAACCCGATGCGTACACTGCACATCATGATTATGGTTCTTACAACCAGGGAAGTGGGTAAATGATAGAAGATCAAGGGCCTCACTGCCAGAGTTTCTCCACATCCCGTCACTTCGCTTAATGCTACCTATAGATTTTGGGTC